AAAAATGTACAAAACATATCTGAAAATCTGCTTGTCTTTGAACTGGAAACCACCAAAATCTGTGAGTCTCCCCCTACAGTCACTAAATTGGACAAAACCTTGATGCTTTCAAAGGTCTTTTCACTAATTGTCAAATTTCTAAAGACACAAAATTAAAGCCTCTTCATTTCATATTCATGTTTTTATATAATAGACTTAAGAGAGTACATTTATGCTCCTAAGCAGACATTTTGCTGTAGTCACAGCAGAGCAGAACCCAGAACACAGCCCCACAGCCAGTCCCATTCCTCCCATCACTGGCAGAGCCACTCACTCCTCCCACGGGAGCTCCTCCCTGCCCTCAAGATCCTCCTCTTTACTCTTTGTATACTCAGTGTTCAATCTTACTGCTCCATGCAAATGATACCCAAAATGAAATCCATATCCCTCTGGACTCACATCTCTTATTTCAGGCAAGATGTAACCATATTCTACACATACACCAAGCACCAGCACTGCCAAGAAACCTCTGGAAAAGCTTGTGTTTGAGCAAGGAAACTACATGCCTGCTGAAACACCAACATTTAAACAAAAACTACTCACTACCAGGCTACTTCCGAGCTGCTGTTATCAAGTCACCCAGACAACCTAGAGGCAATCAGTTCTGAACACGTGCCATGGCACACCCCTACGTTCACAGGGGCTGTAGCCTGGCAGGATGAGTACTTTACTCACTAGGCAGACATTAAACCACCCTGAGCATGTGGACTGACAAAAGCATATTTGCACTGAAGACTGTTCCCAACTTCCCACAGGTAAGCAGTTTGGATGACTACCTCAATCTGCACTCTCCAAAACCTGTCAATGCTGGTACCTATCTGTGCTTCTGGGAAAGTTGTAACTTACCCCCAAAGCTCCACTTACTCTGTAATTCCTCCACTCTGCAAGAAACTTCCCACAGGCCTTGCTCTGTTAGCACCCTCAGCTATACAACAAGCCTTTGCCTCTCAACAGGGCCCACTTGAGAGCTCTAATGAAACACAGCAGTCCTACATCCTTTCTTCAGAAGAATTTCACTCAAGGTTGTTTGGGTTTTTTTTCCCCCCTTACTCCTCCTACTCCTCTGCAAATTCTCCACCCTGAAGCATTAGTCTCCATTTATTATTATTTACCTGGTAGCATATAAGATGACCTGAACAAGCAAAGAATCTAAGAATACAGTGAGATTAAATTAAATCAAGATGTTGAATTAAATGGAATCTTACAAATAATCTGCTCTGGAAGAAACTCCAAGATGTTTTTCCTCCAGTGAAAAACAGCAAACAAAACCAAACACTTCCATCTGCTGAGTGGCTCCTTTTAACTCACTACAAAGATAAACTAACAGAAATTACACAAATGGGTACAGTGCTGTCAGGCAGAATTTCTAATGCCCTTTAAGCTTCACACAACTGTAGTGACCTGGTTTGCTGTTCCAGCATCACAGAAAGTAGTTTATTCATGTGCCCATGTTTCAGGAGTAAAAAGGAAAGCTGCAGCATTAGGTACTGCCTTCTCAAAGCACATTCTCCACCTGGATTTCACCTTTGCATATGCTCCCTCAAGAAATCCAGGAAATGTAAAATATTAGCAATTAGCTGCATTTCTGAGCACCTGTAACTAAAACACATAAACCAGTTAGATTTAATCTGAAAGGAATGTCTCCCAAGCCTGAAGATCAAAACCACCACGAAACAAGGGTGTCCTGGGAAACTGAGTGTCTTGATAGCAAAGATCTTGACATTATTTCCAAATTAACACTCAACACAAACATACTGAGAGACTGAAACTGTCAGTGGGGTTGCATTCTGGTACACAACTTTGTTATGGTCAGAAGTTTTGATCTTGCAATTCTATCACATAAAAACAAAAACAAGTTTATGGAAAGCATGGCTTTCCAGCCTGTTTGGGAGAATTAACAATCTCTACCTGAAAGTAAATAAGGGATTATTGGAGAAGAAAGTCTGCACAACAGAAGGGTGAAGATGTGTAACATATACATTTAGTTTTCAACTCTGAGATTATTTAACAGATTTCAAGAGCACAGAGTTCCTCCAAACCTGGGATCTCCTTCCTGCCCAAGATTCTGGGTGCTCAGGTTCCACCTCAGTGACAAACACTAGATGGCATCAAAGCCCTTCCGTATGAGCAGGCCTTGAACCACGACTCCCCAGCCAGCCCCTGCTGCACTGCACTGGCGTGGCTCACCCACCAGCACCAGCAGGACCTGGAGCTGTGGCACAGGTCAGCAGCACCTGAAGCGACAGGGAACATCCCATCTCAAGTCACATCTTACCAGGCAGTATGTTGAAGTAGCTCAGGAATGTGTGTTCTGAGATGTGGTGACGGTGACAGCAAAGTAGGAGTTATTTCCTCAGAAGCCAAATACAGCAGGTACAGAGAAATCAAAGTTTGAAAAAACAGGATCACTGTATCCAGGGCAGCAGGAA